CAATGTCTCACTTCTCTTCCCAGCCTGGCAGCATGGGAGCCTAGTCAAGGTGGCAGCGTCTGTGGTGTCACCCAGACCTGTATGGGAAGGGACAGGAAGGTCCCTGCAGGTGTCGACAGGGTTGTGCACAAGAGCTGGTCCCCCAGCTGTGGCTGAGCAGTGTTTCTGAGAGCAGGAGCATGGGGCGATTTTGCCCACACACCCTCTGCAGCACTTCTGCTTCCCGAGAAGGCTAGACATCCGGGGCTGGCTTTTCTGTGAAAGAGTGAGCTGTTCTGGTTAGCAAAAATCCCCAGCTCTGTCCTATGCTCCCCCGTGTGCTGCACTCTGCTGTTCTCACCCCACCATGGCTGCCCCATGGCTACTTCCTGGGAGTGTCCCATCACCCATGGCCAGGCAGGGGACTTGGGGACTGGGGACTCTATGAGGAATAATCCTTATTGCCTCGTGCTGGGAAAAGGGGATTTTCTCTCCCCAGAAGGGAAAACTGCAGCCAGAAGGACTCCTACACCAAACCCCTTGAGGCTAATATTTTTCCTGGTGACCTTGAGGCAGAGACTGGAGGCAGCCAGCTGGCTCCCAGGGCAGTATCCCCCCCCATCTGAAATGTCAGCTTGGTCTACAAATAACACCTGGCATGGATCTTTCCCCAGAGCAGTGAGAGACTAAGCCCTCTACCCTCATGCTACAGGACTCATGCCCCATTTTACAGCTGGGGTATGGTAGGGTCCCTGACTGCCTTGCAGCAAGCTCGTGATGCAGCCCTGTGGGTCTGCAGGGCACTGGGAAATGTTTTCCAGTGCCAGAGGACTGGTCCCCTCTAGGAAAAGGGAGGACTTGTGGAGAGCTCTTGCTCTGCCAGGAAGTCCACATTTTCTCCCACCCCAGCTGTGCTGTCAGGGCAGCCAGGGCACCTTCACCTGCCCAGAGGAGGAACCCAGAGGGGCCCAGTGTCACACCCCTGCAGTAGCCCCCCTGCCCTCATCACCCACTGCTCCCCCCTGGCCATATCTCCCAGGAACGGTGGCTCCCACCCCTCCAGCTGCCTCCTGAGGCAATCAGTGGGGAACACATGGGCCTTATCTATGGGCCAGCTGTGGGAAGGGCTCCTTGCCATCCCTATCAGTGGGGCGGCTCCAGACCTGGGGTTGAGGGGAGCCAGCCCCATTCCTGGGGCCACGGCTGGGGGCATTGTCACTGCCCCACACTGACCATTGCAGAGGATGCTTAAAGTTCTGAGACCCCTTTCCAGCCTGGTGGCCAGTGTTGCTGTGATATTGATAGATTTATAGGGCAGCTGTTCCATTGCACTGGAACATTGAAGGCAGATGGTGGGAGCAGTCTTACCTCTGCCAGCAGGATCCACACCCCTCACGCACTTCCACCAAACTCTCAGCAGCAATTTCCTCACCAGGGAGATGCTTGCAGAGCTGATGGGGCTCAAAAGGGCCAGCACCCTGGAAAAGGCTTTCCTGCCCCTTCACAAGTCTGATAGACCTTTGTGTTTTATTTATTTCTTGAGTTGTGCCCACCCTCCTGTTCCCAGTGGCTCGGCAGGGTGCTGCTGGAAAACTGGAAGGGTGGGGATGCTGACTCTCTCCTAAACCCCAGGAGTGTGGGGAACAGGGTCATCTTTGGTGATGCAAAGCATGGACATCCCTTTGAAGAGGTACTCGTGGAGTGTGGTTTTCCCCAGAGGTGGGTGCCAGACATTCCCCCACACTATGGGGTGCCAATGCTTTCAGGGGGCTGGTCCTGTCTGCCACAAAGACTAGGCAGAGTGTGGGAGATCCCTTGGGAGAGAGAGAATCCTGGCTGCTCTGTCCCACTGAGCAAGGTCTGTCCCTCTGTGTCCTGCAACAGCAGTGGCCACAGATCACCAAAAGCTCAGGATGCAGATCTTTATTGTCCACTTGTCTGGCTGGACCACAGCCTGAGCTGGGTGTGGAGTCTCACTCCCCAGCATCCCAATCATCCACCATGGCCTCAGGCTCTGGGTGGGAGAGGAGAGTATGAGAAGGAATGTGTTTTGGTCTCCTACCTGCTCCTTCCAATTATATAAATGAGGAGTTTCTTCCCTGCCATGTCGTGGCCATGGGGAAGCTGGTGATGGTCCGTGGGAGCCTGCTGTGCCCACTGAGGTCAGCCCCTCTGGCCATAACCACAGAATTAGAGATGGGTGGAAAACTGTCTAAACTCCATACAAATATTTGCATTTTAAGGGCTTTTTCAAGTATTGGGGAACGCTGACACAGCAGCAGTGTGGGCGATGCTGGCATACTGAGAGGGTCTGCTTGGCTCTTTTCTTTTTTTGGAGAGGGGCAGGATTTTCATGGTCAAAGAGTCTTTATAGTGTTTAAAGAGTGTTTAGAATTTAAAAAAAAGCTAAATGACCAAAAAGGGGAGAATTTCCAGCACTGCTCCAGGTTTCTCTGCCAGCTCCTTGGGGCAAAACAGCCACCCTAATGCTGCGTGGACCACAAACCTTCAAACCACCCCTTGCCCTGGGCTTGTGGGTATATGGCTCCCATCTCTGTGTTTCTTTTTCCTTTTCTGCTGAAAGGATTTTTGGCAGGAAAGGGAGTTCCTGTGGCTGCTCTGCCCTGGAGCATCCTGAAGGTCTGGAGCTGAGGTAGAACTGGTGGGAGCTTGACCCATCTGTTGCTCCCCATGCCTATTCCAGGGGATGCTCACCTGCCAGCTTTTGGCCGTGGAGAAGGCTGACTGGGGGACAAGGGTGGCCTTGGATCCTGATGGCTTCAGGACCAAACATCCCAGGCATAGATAGGGGCTAGAATAAGGGAGAAGTTGGAGGGACTCTGGGCTATCCCATCCCACTGCATTCCCCCTCTCCACACCCATTTCTGCCAGCTCCTGGGGCAGGTTGAAGCAAGCAAGTCACAGGCACGTCCTGTCCTGCTGGAGCAGGGAGGGCTCAGCACCTTGGGCTGCAGGGGCGAGAGCCCTCCATGCCTCCATGTCCCCAGGGGACAGCTCTGAGGTGGTAACACCCAGACCCCCAACACACTGTCCACAGCAGAACAGTGTTTGGGAGTGTCCTGGCTCCATGCAGAGTGATCTTGGGCACAGTGATGGGGCTGGGGGCTTGGTGCAGGTAGGTCAGTGCTGTGGGTGCATCCAGCTCCAGTGGGGGTGCAGAGGGAAGTGTGTGCAGCAATGGAGCCCTCCTTGCATGTGTGTGCATGTGTGCTGGGACTCACACATGCAGAGCAACAATGTGTGGGGCTGCCCTCTGCTTTGGGCTTGGGGCCCAGCCATATTCTGCATCCACCTCACGGGTTGGCAGGTTGCTCCATGCCTCACAGCTGTACCTTGCACCTTGGGGTGTGCTGTGCTTGGGGAGTGCAGGGGACCAGGGCTCAGGCAGGCTCAGGTAGTACCTGAGTGGCAAGAAGGATCATCATGGTGCTGCAGCAATGAGTCAGGGATAACCAGACACATCTGTGGTGGGCAAGGGGACCAGCACGTGCCCCTGTGCAGCGGGCACCCAAGGGTGGTGCTGGCCCTGGGGCTACGCCAGGCAGGGAAAGAGGTTCCTGCACGTGTCTGGGCAGTGCAGCACGTGTGGCTGCATGCTGGGGCTGGGCTCTGCTTCCCTCGGGCCAGGGATACGTGCAGATCATCCCAGTGCTGATGGACCACAGGGGGATGAGCACCAGGTGGATGAGCAGGACAGCAAGATTGCCATGACGTAGCCTGCAGTGGCTGTCACATAAAGGCCAGCGCAGCAGATGTCATCGGAGCTGATGTGTTTCTTCAGCCGTAGGCAATGCCGGCGATACAAGGATGCTAGATGGGGGGGCCCCATTGGTCCCGTGCATCCTGTGGGGTCGGGAGCAGCCATGGCGAGGGGTCTGCTTGTGCAAGGTGTGGGTGAGTGTGTGTGGGTGAGTGCAGAGGGCTGGGTGTGCAGCACGCAGTAAGCCAGGTTAGGTTACAGCATATAGGGCAGGAAAGGGTATGTGCAGTATGTAGGGACAGTATGTATGGGGCTTGGTTAATGGGGCTGAGGAGAGGGGAGGGCCAGCTGTGCACAACACCTCGGATATGCAGAGTCCTCACAGGACTCCCTCCTCCCCACCATCCCATTCCCACGGAACTGAAGCATCCACACCCATTCCCTCCCCCCGGCCCCTCCCACCATCCTATTCCCATGACAACAGCAGCATCCTGCTCCTACAGCAAGGTGCAGAACACACATCTGGGTCCTGATGCCACTCTGGCTGCAGCAAAAGCCCCTGCCAGAGGGGCAAAGGGTAGCGGTTCCAAGGACACCCAGTACAAACCAGAACTCATTTTCCTTGAGGTTTGGGAGAACATCTGGAGCCGTGGACACCCCTGGAACCCATGAGGATTCTGGGATCCATCTAAGAGAAAGGTACAGTGCTCTCCCTGCCTAAGCCCCCAGCTTCCCACTCAGATTGTCGCCTCCCCAGGCCAGGGAGCTGCTGTTGTCCTGAGGCAGGGTTCTGAGCGCTGGGCCAGCCCTGCCCTCTAGTGCCGTGAGAGTTGCTCCATGCCGGGCTCAGATCCGGATCCCTGTAGCTCAGCCACCCAAAGTCCTCCCAGGGCCCGCAGAGCAGAGCAGGGGCTGACAGGCTTCCCACTACCCGGCGGCACCACGTCCCAACCCGACACTGCTGCTGAGGGGACATGGGGACACGTCCAGACCCTCCATGGCACCATCAGCACAGTCCGGCTACCCGGGGATGCAGCAGTGTCACCCCAGCACAGGTGCCCGACGGCCCAGACCCTGAGATACAGGTGTGCCCGTACGGGTGACAATTGCCTTCCCGGGTCGATAACCTGGTGGCCAAAGCACTCGGTGGGCCGGGACGGCGCGGGGCCACGCCAATGGGTGCCCGCAGCTGCGGGAGAGGGAGGGAAGCTCTGGAGGCTCTGGTTAAACTGGAACGAGGCGCGGCATCGTCCCGCGGTCCCTGCCCTGGGGACTCTGACCCCGTGGGCCGGCGAGGGGAGCTGAGGCGGGCGGTGACGAGCAGCCCCACAGCCACTGGGACAGCGAGGAGCCCAACAGCATGGAGTCCACTTTGGAGCTGGCCGATGACCCCAGGTGAGTGCTGGAGACACTAGTGTCGCTTTGCAGCCGGGCAAATCCAACTTTTTGGATAAGAACTTTGGATGATTCCTTCCCTGTGTAAAGGAAGGGAAGCGCTTGGCAGTGACTGCTCGCACCCTGTGGCCCCGGGTGTCCTCGTGTCCCTGCGGCCCCATCAGCACTCCCGTTCTGCTCCGCAGGTTCTCCCGCTCTTTGGTGGAGATGCTGATCAGGAACTTCAGCGTGCCGGCAGCTTGCTTCTCCCTGCCGCCCACCTCCCAGCAGCTGCTGCACCGTAGGTGGGGGGAAGGGGTGGAGAGGACCCTCCTGCTGTTCCTGGCGGGAGCAGGACAGGGGTGAAGGTGGTAGGGTGGCCGTGGCAAGTGCAGGCACGGAGCAGCCCCAGAAATCAAAAACTGGACTGCTGCCAGGGTCTTAGCCTCTCATCCCATAGTCCTACATGCAGGGATGGGTACAGCCCAGGAAGGGCCAGCACTGGGGTGGGTGTCATGGCACGGGGAGCAGTGGTGCAGAAGGGCCAGCTCTGGTCCAGGGCGTGGCACAGAGCTTCCTAAATCTGTGGAGTGGTGGGTCGTGGGGCAGCTCCCTGTACTGATGGCCTCAGGGGGGACCAGACAGGATGAAGACAGCTTCTCATCCCTCCCTGGCAGAGCTGGACACGGCCCAACTCATCATCCTGGGCCTCTGCACCATCATGACACTGTTGTCGGTTGTGATCTATGCAGAAGAGGTTTCATACCTCTTCCGCAAGATCCGCTGCCCTATCAAGATGAAGACCCTCTGCTGGAGCAGCTCAGCCCCTACGGTGAGCTGGGTTGTGGGGGTGCTGGGGGGGCCCCCCTGGGGGGCCAGAGCCATCCAAGGGGTGCCAGCCCACAGGAGGGGGGAATGTCAGTGTGCCAAGCTCACGTGTCCCCCAGGTTGTGTCAGTGGTCAGCTGCTTTGGCCTGTGGTTCCCGCGCTCCATGATGGTGGTGGAGATGGCAACCACGGCGTGAGTATCACCCACCCTGGGACAGGGCACCAAAGAAAGAGCCCACAGGGCTTGACCTGCCTTCCTCCTTCTCCCCAGGTACTTCGCTGTCTGCTTCTACCTGCTGCTGCTGGTCATGATTGAGGGCTTTGGGGGGAAGGAAGCGCTGCTCAGCACCCTGAAGGACGTGCCCATGGTGGTCAGCACTGGGCCCTGCTGCTGCTGCTGCCCCTGCCTGCCCCGAATCACCATGAGCAAGTGAGGGGGAGCTGAGATAAACCTCTGCTCCTGGAGGGCTTTCACTGCTTCTGCTGGGCTGGAAGAGAAGTCCCTGGGTAGGGACTTGGGGACCTCAGAGTGCTACCAATCTCTCTCACTATGCCAGGAAAAAGCTTAAATTGATGATCCTGGGGACTTTCCAGTACGCCTTCTTCAGGGCATTCGCTGTCTTCCTGGGGCTGATCCTGTCTGCCGATGGGAATTACAACCCTGCTGACGTAAGTGCCAGAGCACAGGGATGGGCAGGTTGATGACCTAGACAGGAAGCCTCCACCTGAGCTTTGTCAGCCCAGTAATGTTTTCTGTGTGTCCCCCTCAGATTTCAGCAGAGAGTGTGGCCCTCTGGATCAACACCTTAGTTGGTGTCTCCACCCTCTTTGGGCTGTGGGCCCTAGGCATCCTCTTCCGGCAGGCCCGGCTGCACCTGGCTGAGCAGAACATGCAGGGCAAGTTCACCTGCTTCCAGGTGAGCCCCTGCCCTGCCCAGCTCCCTCCTAGGTGAGGGGCTCCTGCAGCACAGATGGGGTGAGGCAGCATGAAGGAAGATAGTGGGGCAGGAGCCACTGCATGTGGAGAGCCCTGCTGGCTGCAGGATAGCAGGGAAGGTGAAGGCTGGGAGCTGGGCAGTGGCATGGCCCTCACCACTGGGGTGTTGGTGGTCGCAGATCCTGCTCCTCTTGACGGCACTCCAGCCTGCCATCTTCAGCATCCTGGCCAATAGCGGCAGCATCGCCTGCTCGCCACCCTTCTCCTCCAAGGCCAGGTCACAGCGTAAGTTGGGAGATGAGCAGCACCACGTGCTCCCAGCCGAGCCCCTCCATCACATGGCATGGCATGGGGAGTGGGCATGGTGGATGAAGGCAGTTTCAAATGACCCTTCTCCTCTTCCAGAGATGAATGTGCAGCTGTTGATCCCGCAGACCTTCATCCTGGCAGTGCTGACGCGGATGTACTACCGCAAGCAGGATGACAAGCCGGGCTACCAGCCCGTCAGCTTCGCACCCGCAGGCGCCGACACCAAGGCGTGAGCAGGAGGGAGAAACTGGGGTGCCAAGGGACAGAGTGGGGTGAGGGGCTGGTCTACCCTGCACAACCTTCTCGTCTCCTCCCCTGGCCCTGGGGAGCTGCTGGCAGCAGAAAAGGCAGAAGGGGAAAGAACATCTTGGGACAGAATGAAAGGGTCTAAAACCTAAAAGCCAAGGGGGTCCACAGAAGCCACCTCCAGCCCGGAGGCTCTTGTCTAGCACTGAGTAAAGATAAATTTTTACTGGAGTCTTGCATTGGTGACTGGGTTCATATTGTCTCTGCCTAGGCTGGGTGGGAGATGACTCCATACAGGGGGAGTAGGATGGAGCCCAGACTAACACAGCCATGACATGAGACCGTCACGAGATGCCCAACGCCCAGCTGTGATTCTGAGCTGGTGCTGCTGGCTGGGATCCCACAGCCAAGGCAAGTCCAAGCCAATGGTAATTTCTCCCAAGACATCAGATTGGCTCTGAGCTGTCCCTGGGGCCTGTTCTCTATGGCACTGGCTGCTCCAGAAAGCACACAGGGAGCATCCACACCTGCCAGTCAGGCACCAGACAAAGGAAGGCACCTTGATGCACCTTTCTAACACTGGCAATTAGTTAATGCTGCCTCAACCCGCCTCAGTCCAGTACCAGTATCTGCTCTAGACATGGGGATGGAAATCAGGAGAAATTACAATTTGCAGAAACCACTGGGTAATCTTTTGACCCCAAGTGTTCATTACAGACAAGAGAAGCACAACTCAGACCGTGGTTTCAAATGAGCAGATTACATGTTAATAAATTGTAGTGCTCTCCAATGCTCTTGCTTCTACCACCATCCCTGGTACCTCTCAATTCTGTACTTTTGCTGCTGTTCTCTGCCATCAGAAATTCCTTTCCCAGAGGCTCGCCTCCCAGATCCACAGAGGAAGTGAAATAGGGCTGTTTCATATGAGTAGACACGTCTAGATTTGAAGAGTGATGGCTTAGAGGTGTGCAGGACAGCCCTAAAGCAGCAGATACAGTGGGTGTATCTGTGGGAATGAGATGATCCTGGGAAACTTGGCTTGTGTTTTGCTCAAAGATCAAACTCTTACCTATTCCTGATAAAACATGACAGTGCTGGTCATGGAATCCAAGAGAAAACAAAACAAAGGAAAAAAAAAAAAAAAGACTAGGCTAGGATTTCAGTGTCCAATTTAATTTCAGTGCAAGGAGGAAGCAGAGATTATTGGTTACAAGAAATAGCTCTGTTATTCCAAGCTACGTGTAAAACCATGGCTGGCTTCTTACTAAGCACCCCAGATTTTGCAGAGAGACCAAGTATGTTAAGGTCTCTGCAGAACAAGCCACCATCCAGAACACCACAGTTACCCAAACTTACAGAACACTGTTGCATAACTTGTGTTTAAAACAGTAGTAAGGCTCTAAAGCAGCCTGGCCTTTGTGATCTGGCTCAGGGAAGCAACCGCAACATCCATATTGAGGGAAGAGTGAGGAAGGGAAGATGAGGGAAGAGACAATGTGGATGATACAAAGTAAGTGTTCTACCACTCATAAACCAGAGGATTAACAACTGTCTTCTACCATGTGACTGTTATTTGCTCCTTACAGTTTAAAATCCACAGCAGCCAGCCATGCTCCCACAGCTGTGCACATCCCTGCTGAAAGAGGTCCAAGTGGCAGATTAGTGATCCCCAAAATACCCTTTCCCATACTGGTTCTGGCCTCAAGAGAAGTACAGAACCTCTGTCAAGCCCTTTGGGCAGCGTGACAAAAAGCCACCAAGACAAAAGCTGGAAATAAGCTGTAGCCTGTTCCTACAACAGGCCACATGCTCTGGAAGCATGCAGAGCTTGTGGCAGCACTTGATGAATTTCCTCCTTGCATGTACTGCTACCCAAGCCTCACATCCTGCTCTGGAGACCTCCCTGCAGCATTGCTGATTGGACTCTGAGCTGTCCTCTGTTCCCAGCACCACAGGATACAGACAACTCAGCCCAGCAGCTCCACCCAGAGACAGTGGGTATCAGAGGCAAACACTGGCAGAAAAGCTCCACAGCTACATGACAGCAAGGCCAGTTTCTCCAGTGCTGGCTGCAGGACAGAAGAAGCACCAACCTGCTCTGCTTAGCCATGGGGAGGCAAGTCCCCTTGGGGAGCCACAGGCCACAAAGCAGTGTGTATCACAGACATGACAGCAGGCACAACTTGGACCATGGACTCAAATGAGCATTATGTGTCTAAATAACCTTAAAAAGCTGCAGCACTCTGATGCTCCTTCCATCCTACCTCATGGAGCAGAGTGAGTAGGCATGGATTTGTGCTGTACTGCACAAGCCAGGTAACTGTCACACAGGACTGGGGCCCTTCATCTGTCCAGCTGCACACACTGACATCAGCAGCAAATTGGCTGCTTTGCCCTTAGAGCAGGGACTTCACGGCACCTGTGTGAAGGACTCCTCCAGCCCCTAAAGCACAGCAACTGAAACACAAACACACACATAGCTGAGAGACCTTTTGGACAGACACTAAAACGTGTAACACACCACAGACTGGAACAAGGAACTTCTCAAGAGACTACACACGTTCATTTCCTATCGGGCTCTGACACACCCAAGGAAATGCACGACAGCAAGTGCCCTGAAGCAAAGATTCATTTTCTTCTCTCCAACAGCAACTGAGGGCTCAATTTTAGCTCAGAATTTAGCAGTCTTGTTAAGATTAGCTGGAAAGGCCTTTCCCTTGCAGCCTCTCTACTGTTTGGAGCTATGAATGTTGTGCACTTTATGGGGTGTGCCACTCTACAGTGCTGCAAGTCCTTCCCGGGTGTAACTCCTGCGTGCCAAGCTGGGACCCCCTGCCCAGCACGTCCTCACTGTGACACGCTGGGAAGCTCAGTTAAGGGGCATGCAAGCACTACAGAGTCTGCTGGATAGATTCCTATCAGCTCCAGCCCAGCAGGGATGTCTCTGTTTCCTAGAAGCCTCATTACACCACTGCTTTGTGTGTGTGCTCTCGAGGTCATGCTGGTTAAGGAACTGAGGGGTCTTTCCTTTGGCAGTGGCACAGGTACTGCCTGGGGGTGGAGGGGAGACAGAGGAGCTGAAGGAAAGAAGAGACAGATAAGTCTTCCCACTCTCCCTCTTGCCTGGAGGTTTAACAAGGGAAAAGAAACTAAAACAAAAGCCACGCTTGAGTGCTATTCTTTGCCCTTTTAACGAATATTTTCTTAAAATATAAAAACCATCTTCACCCTGGAAACCACTAGAACGTAAACAATAAAAAGGGGATTTAGGGAGAAGAAGGGAGAGGAGGTTTGAATGTGCTTCCAGGCAGCAGCCCTTGCTAAGAGCAATGGGGGCCTCCAAGGCCCTGTGCTCACCATCAGCCCTGCTCCTATGGCTCTCTTGCTCATTTAGAGTTCCCCACTGGGTCTGGACTTAGGATTCAGCGATTAGCAGTCTGCAGCAAATCCTGGCAGGTAGGTTAATCCTCTTCATCCTCACTGATGTCATAGGTGACTGCAGACTCGTTCCTGGAGCGGTTGGCAGGTGAGGAAGGAGGAGTCTTGGTTGAAAAGGGCCAGCGGAAGGTGGGAGATGGGGAGCGGTCGTGTGTGGGGCTGCTGCTGGGACTCTGCTTTGGGCTGATGGCCTGCAGCATCCTGCCCTTGCCCTCCTTCAGCATGTGTTTCTGGTGAGGGAAGCATGAGGACAGTTAGCAGGGGTTACACAGTCATGGAAATGGACACTACTTATAGCCTGTGCAGCATTTTGAGTTGTATCCCTTCAGAACTATGCTATTTAAGAGCAGAAAAGCCCCAGCATCACTCTGGGCTTTGGAAACTGCCCATGTAATCACCACCCAACTGCCCAGTGTAATCACCACGCATTTTCAAGCACTTCTAACAAGAAATGCCTGTGATATTTAGCCAGGAAAGCCTGGCATAAACAAATAGTTTCAGACCCAGCTTAGGCCAATGACAAAGTGACCACCATCCTCTTGGCAGCTCAGTGGTCAGCATGGCACAAACTGGAGTTTACAGGCCAGCTCGTGGGAGAGGGGAGCTTTTCACTCTACAATGTAACTGGCGTTATCTCGTTGGCAATGATGAGTACTCTCTGCAAACAGGCTGCCCAAACCTGTGACAACCTGTCTGGAGACTGGCAGCACACTGAGCACTGCAATAACGCCAAACCTTTCCTCTGCAGACTCTGTAGAAGCCGTACAATGTCTGTTAGTGTCTCCAAAATTCCCTTTTCCCAGAGCAGCTCCTTACCAATGCGCCTTCTGGGCCAAACATCTCCAGGAAATTGCCGATGAACTCCCGAGATTTCTCTTCCCACTTCTGAATGAGATCAATACTCTTCTCTTCCACTTTCTGGACAAATTCCTTTGACTTCTCCTCTACATCCTTCACCCTCTTTTTCACCTTATCCACGCGTTCCTGGAGGTGATATTTCTTCTCCTGCACAGAGAGTGGTGGATCAGAATACAGCTCACCAGATTTGAGTGGAGACCATCTCTGCTCTGTGTTACTACACTGAAATGCTGCTTGAGACTCAGTATCTCCGTTAGTCTGGTGACATTTCTCCTTCACTTCCATCACACTTCTTTCCTAGACTACATGGCAGACACAGTGGGGCTGTGAGACACTCTGTGGCAGGCACTGGCACAGTACACAAAGCAAGACTAAAGCCAGAGATAAGCACTATCTAATAGGAGTGCATGGAAGAGGGAAATATTTATACACCACACAGATTAGATTCCAGTGACTTGCTGTAGATCTCTCTGCATATCTCAACAGCACCAGTCTTTCTGCTGGGTGTTTTTAAAAAGAGGCAGATTTATGTGCCAAAGAGAGGCCAAGCAGCCATTACCTCTCCTGTTTCATTGTTGTTCACAGGCACAGTATCTGAGTGATAAAAATAAATGTTTACAAATTTACTTCCAACATCAAAAATGTCTTCTGCCATGTATTCTTTTTGAGGGCTGAGGGCTAGAACTGCTCAGGACAGGATGAAGGCATATCCTTCTGTCCTACCCAAGCACTGCTGCTCCTGCAGCTCCAGGAGGGGAACAGTACAGTGAAAACAGCATCAGAAATAGCATCATTTTATCCTAACAAATGACTCTACCCTAAGGAGGTGGCTGGGGGAAGAGGAGAGAGATGAGACAGCAGCTGCTGTCAAGAACAACTCACTCTTCATTCAAAAAAACGTACATTTTGCCACACACCCTCTATCCAGCTCTTTAAATAGGTAAGACATCATCAAGGCATCTCTGACAAGACAGCAGCATTAGCAACCCCCCACCTCCTCTGAGTCCTCTCAATCTCTGAAGTGATTTCAGGTGTGGAAGTCTAATTTCTACTCCAACGACACTGGTTTGGTGCCAACGCTTAGCTCTGCAGACAGGTCTTTCACTGGCACATGGCAGGACTGTGCTATCACTAGACAAGACTCTCTTCACACTTTGCAATATTTTGGCTCTCACCGCGTGTGGTGAGGCCCCCTTCAACTCACGTTTATGAAGCTGACGTTGAGCTCCTTGGCCGTGTAGCCGCGCTGCAGGTTCCGCCGGGCATAGACGTCGTAGTCCCGCACGATGCGTGTGATGATGTCGGATGTGGAGATGCCCTCAGTCCTCTGGGTCGGTGCAAACATGCCTAAAGTTGGGGAAAAGGACCCAGGACAGCTTGAGCAAGACACATGGCAAAAAGCTGCTGCCACCTCGATTAGGAAACAATTTCTCCTGTCAAGAGCTCACTTCCTAGCTGCTCTCACATCTTTGTCCTTAAATGTACAATACCAGAGCCATCCTTTCTAGGATGCCTAAATAAAATATCAAAATACCAAATGTCAAAATACCACGTATTCTAACGAAAAGGTCTTCACTTTAGCTGTCTTTAAATATTGACTGCATATAGAATAGTGTGGAGACAAGGCCAGGACAAGGAGTCCTACATTTTAATGGATGGAAATATAACACTCTGATGGCTGAGTTTTGATAGATATAAAAAAGCTGCACCCTCAGTGAACTTTACAGCAAATAGCTAGAGATGCCCCTCTGCTAAGTTCATGAGACTCCCCATTTGTGAGAATCTCTAAGCCAAACTGTAGTATGTTTTCAAGAGGTTGCTGTTAATTCAGTCAAAATAACTAGATTGGAATTAGGAATTAATGCTGGGGCCATGCTTGGGCTGGGACGTGGGACTAGTGTTATGAAGCAGGGCCCAGAGCTGCTTCTTCCTGCCACCAGAGCTTCCTGGGCAGACCTTGTTCCCAGAGAGGCATAATCTTTCATTAAAGAGGTACAGGAGAAACTACAGAAGATATTTGACAGAAAGCCCTGGAGAATTTGAGGGGGACCCACCTGCTTCTTTTATATGCTTATAGACATCATCACTGCCAGCAGAAGAGTAGGGGATGTCATCATGTGCAACAAAGTCGATCTGAAAATTAAAAAAGCAAGTCAACATTTTATCTGGAATGTGCAGATCTCCTGCTGCTGTCAAAAGATGGTTTAATAGTGGAGGCTCAACACCTCCACTCAGGGGTGTGAGAGAGAACAGCAAGACACTTTCCTCTGTTACAACACAACACAGAGCACTCCAAAGTTCTCAGTGGCAATTGCCTGAGAATTGTAAGCACATGACAGAGAGGAAAGAAAAGGCTGGGAATAAGGACACAGCTGCTTTAAGGTCCACAGAGAAATGGCTTGTTAATGGCAACAACGGTAAACTAAGCAAGCTCCCCTGGAGAATACTTCACCTCCCAAAGCTGTTCAACAGATGTCAGAGATTCCTTTCACTTTATCTCACCAACTGATAAAAGGCTTTCAAGACAGCTTGTCTGGTCTCTGGCGGCAGGGAAGCTGAGGTATATCTAAGCTGCTCCTGCTGTAAGCAGGGAGTTGGACCCGACACCCCCAGAAATCTCTTCCAAACCATGTAATCCTCTCCCTACTGCATTTCACACCTGTCTGTAACGTGCACCAACTTCTCCTGAAATAGTGAGAACCCTCTCAGGCTTTTTCACTATGTCACAATCTCTACCTTATTTTAACATTACATGCCAGCTCAGCAAATGCTTCTACACTCCAAAGAAACCCACTCAATTCCCATAACCCAGTTCATTCGATATTTAAGGAGCTTCAACAGAAACAGTTTGCTGAGGCAGAGGTCACCCCCAAGGATGAATTCTTGCTGTAAACAGGGAGAGGCTAACTGAAATTCCAAACAGATCAGATGTCACAAATTACCCTGTGCTCTGCCAGGAACTCGGGTGTGAGGGTCCAGGGTGCATTTCTCACCACCTCATCCACATAGCGACAGTGCTGCACAGCATCGTAGCGCTCGTTTTCGTTCATTACCGTGAAACCCTTGAAGTTGTGGGTCAGCTCATCACTGCAGACTGGAGAAACAGGCAAAGAACACTGAGTCTGAGGCACTTACCACAATGATTTACAGCAAAAGGACCTTGCCTACATCCTGCTGAACTAGACAATGCCAGCAGCTGACAGAGACTGGTGTTTCAAACCCAGCTCTTCCAGCCAAAAAGCATCAGGAACAGGGAGTGCTCAGGGCACTGAACTCCTGAGCAATTCTGGGAAGCCTGTTTGGGGAATTTCTGCCTAAGCTGGGGACCTACACCCCAAGCCTTTAAGGTGACCAGAGCTTACAACACTTATCAAGAAAACCAGCCAACACAGAAGACCACTCTTCTATAAGAAATGGCACTGGGGGTCTGCTGTGCAGAAATCCACGTTGAAAGCATTGGATGTCTCAGGCTTGGAATGTGAAAAGACTTATTGCCTCAACTTCTGATTTCATAAAATACCATATCACAGTCTACTTGGAAAGTTTATGTTAAAACAAAGAGAGAGTTCACAGGAAATCAAGCTTAATTATTATGTTCTATGAGAAAGTAAATTAACCACTTTTCATAATCTGCAATGTGAGATATTGAAGAAGGAGTTCTATTTGATTATCAGACTCAAAAGTAAACAAGGCATTACCAGTCTCACTGGTATTGGATGTATTTACATTCTAGACAAACAGATGATAAAGAGTGGGGGAGACTGTTCCCTGCTTGGAGCTAATGTTCTCTTGGGATGTGGCCTCTTGTCTCAGTCCTGGTGCAGGGGGAGCAGTTCATTGCCCTCCTCCTCACCAGCCTCCTAGAGGCACAGAACATGGTTACACTCCTTGCTACTTTAACATGTTAATAGTTTGACCTGACGTTATTTTCCTGTTTGTTGTAGTGTTTATGTACATGGGGGATGTCTTTCAGCCTTTTAGATTTCTAAGCTCAGGGCAGTTTGTAGCTTGGAGCAACTGTTTCAGCTCTCCTCCCTCCCTTTCCCTTCCAGACACTACTGTAGCACACAAGAAGTGGAGGCATATCACTATTAAAATGCTCTCAGCAATAACTGAAACTGTGATAAGGAAACAAACCACTCAAGGATGTTATAATAGCTCTATGGCGGAATTTCATTTTGCTTCATGAAGACACTGGGAGTTGAGAAGACTACTTAAAGGTATTTTCAGTTCTCATACTTCAGCATCCTTATGCAGCCTGACCAGGGGTCAGCTCCTGATGGACAACATGCACAGCCTGATTTATCCTTAGCATGGGAGAAGGGACGAGCAGAGCCACTGCCTAGACAGAGTCCCATGTACTGCAGCAGCCAGAAGAGGGATATCTTTTTTCCTGTTACATTCTTGAAGGACCTTGGCTGAAAGCCCTCTGCTAGATCCCTTCAGGCACTCAGCAGGACATTTGTGGCATCATCTAAAGACTTATGACCTAACAGACAAAATGGGGAACTTCTATTTGGAGAAGGAAGGCCTCACTGACTTCTAAGGCAGGCGCCCAAGAAATCACGTTCACAGTGGGATCAGTTTGGCACTAAGCAATCTCCAGCAGGAAACTGGAGCTGGGGAGTGATTTGGAGGGCAATACAGGTGAACAAAGCAGCCATGGAGGGACTCCATGTAGTTTAGCTGTCTCATTTATGTGTCAAAAGTAGATGCTCAACTATCCCTAATGTATTCTGATACTCAGATGTGCAACTCACCTGTACCTGTCACAAAATAGAGTGGTGAAATTAAAACAGCATGATCAACAATCTTTTCCTTAAGCGCTCATTTGGTACAGGTATCTTTCTGCAGATGTACCCAACCCTCAACATTTTGCAATAAGACTCCAGCAACATTTGGGACAAGTGTCTGCAGTGAGAGTCACTGAGGCCACAAAGACAAAAGCCCTGTATGCCCAACCACAGACAGAGCTAAACTGTACTCCTGCAACAGCCAAAGTCAACAAGGTCACTCCTTACCTCCAACAATGAGGTATGTGTTTGGGAAGAGGTTCTTTGCTTGCATCAAGGCCCGGGCATGTCCAGAGTGGAACAAGTCAAATATTCCATCGGCATAAACTCTGACAGGGCGATCCACTGTGCCAAAGGGACAGAGAGACAGCTGTGAGTATGCCTTGCTGGAGAAGCAGCTGGTGCTCATGCTCACATTTGAGGACCTTCTGAAACTCATGGAGGCGTTATAGAATGCATCACCATAATCAGGACAGAACTGTGAAGATAAATGCCTGGCTCTCTGCCTTCCCATGTGGAAACAAATGCATCCAAGCACAGAGCTGAAAACAACCACATTTAAAGGCAGATTGAAAGCCTAGCATGTATCATCCAAACAAGGTGGAGACCAAGGGAAAAGCAAACCCTGAACATTTCCCTTTTATGGAAATCCAAATGCAGAATTAACTTTTTGCACAACAGTGAGATACCAGAGGGGAACTGGCCCAAATGTTTCACAGGTGCCTGATTTCCCCCTGTCTGCCAGGATGGCATCTCAAGATCATTACAGCATCCCCCTCTGCAGCCTGCTGCCACAGTCTGGTTGAGGGATCAGCATCATCAGTTCCCCCAGACACATGCAGTGTATGGCTTTATTCAAAAACACAGCTGAACTATTCAAAGAAAAGCAGACACAGTTCTGCTGAATCATTATCAGCTAAACCCATCAATAATATTAATATCAATATTAATGATAATAACAATAGTAGTTAAAAACCAACAACCTAAACTTCCCTCAGGCCACCTCTGCCAGGGGAAATTGTAGCTCAGATCTTTGAGGTCAGCCCAGAGGTAAAATGAGATAGTCTAGCACTGCCATGTAATAGTGGGAGGCTTCTGATCTTGGGACTACACAGGACCACAGTTCTCTTTCTGCTGATAACCAAAAGCCAGTCTTTGTATGCGACATACTTGGGAACAGCCTGCTGCTCTCTTAGTCCAGTTCAGACAGACAGACTCAGAGGAGTGGTGAGCAGAGGCACACCAAAGCTGCAGTGAGAACAGGGACGACAGAAGACCTAACAGGAAGCTGAGACCCCACAGGTCTGGGCAGAGCCTTGGAGGTACCCAGAGACAGAGCTTGGGAGGTGGCAAGAGAAGGAGTTGATGCAAAGGTCAGGGCTGTTAAGTTCAAGTTAAGCAGAGGAGTCAGTTTGAGGACAGCCTCTTAGAATCATTTTTTAGTGGTGCTAAAACCTCAACCTGAGGATGCCAAGAGACTCTGAAGAGCCAAGGATTTGGAGATCTGTGACAGCAAAATCTTTCCATATGCCAGAAGAGGACTGATACTAGCAGACCCTTATGAGTGTTCATTTACATTCTGGAAAGTACCTGGGACATCCTTGTCTTTCCTCTGTACCTGCAGCAGCTACAGTTCCTGAGCACAGACACAAACTGCAACAAGGAAGTGTGTACTGTATTTTAGACCTGACAGGCAGGAGAGCCACCACTAGTGAAAGCTTTGTGCAGACTCTGGAGATTTTCAGATGGGAAATTAATGCAGAATGTGAAATACACTGGATTTTCAGAACCTCTGGCAAGAAACCACATCCAGGCCTCAATCTGAGCTGGCTCATCTATCAGCAGAAGTCAGGTAGATAGAAGTGCAGAATTTTTATTGTCTGTAGCCACAACAGAGAGGCCAGGTAAGACAGCACTGTCTGCATACTCTGTTTGGCAGGAGAGGGCCGTGATCCTTTGGGAGTCAGTTGTGCCTCTGCCTCCCCTTTGGGCTTCCAAAGAAAATAGTGTTTCTCTCAGCCTGGTTTAGAGAATAAAAGGACACATTCTTGTTGTGGGACTGGCCTCTGGTGTTTAATGACACTGACTTTAATTCAAATCCAGGCTAGAATGGGACATTCTGAACAAAGACATAACTTGGTTTTACTTGCCCGTTTCAAGTTTCAGAAAATATGACTTTTAAAGTGCTTGACCTAAAGCTACCTCAGACAAGGTAGTACAGAAAGTGTGCAGTTCTATGGCTGTCAGTGGCTCAGTCAGAGTTTAAAATACATATCTGTATTTTCCTCACAGATACAAACTTGAATTTCAGGTGTACTGACAGGCCAAATTTCCCATTGGAACAGTTATCTAATCACCAAAGCACTCAGTCATTGGCTGTAAACCTGGTCCAACACATAAGGTGAGTTTGGTCTCAGAGATGTCTCAATCATACCCACACCCCCCAAATCCAACATTTATACAATCCCCACCCAGTCTGTGCTGTTACTTACAAGGGGTCCCTCTCACGGCTTCTTCATACGTCACTCTGATGTATGGCTTGCTGTAGTCGATCTCCACTTCATCTGAGAACGGAGCTGGTTCCCTCAGGCCCTAAACAGCCAGGAAAGTTTCACTGTGAGAGTGCAAAAGTGAGGGCAGTTCACAGCGGCAGCACTGCCATTGCAGTGTCCCTAGTCACCACGTGACTCATTGTACCTCTGCACAATTCAGACCTGTGTAATAAAAGACTAATTAGTGTAAAACCTCAAAACAGCCTTGCAGGCTGATTAGCCTGAATTTAGAGAGGAAGAGAGAAAGAAAAAAGAGTTTAGAAGACAGTATTTATATTGGACCGAGAAAATCAGACGGTCAGAGCTGCAGCTGCTAAACTCAGACTTCTGACAAACAGCAGTTCACAGCAGCACAAGCCAAGCTTCAAACCTCACTGTCACAGCTCCAGCTGTGCCCACTCTGGAAAGATCATCATTCTGCTGTGCCTGAGTATTTGTGCTGTGATGTACAAACTGTAACAGATCCTTGATTTGAATATATGAAGAAGGAGAAGAGCAATACCAATTGCAGCACTAATTCCCAGGGAATGTGCGTGTTGTCACCATTTCTGAGCCACACAAGTGACAGACTGACCTTGATCTGTGGCAGAATAACTCCAACTGCTGCAAGAAAACCCCTCTAGCCTGCTAGCTTGACCACAGCAGTACATTTAATCAACAGCTGAAGTCTAGGCATCATTTCTGGTCTGCTCTGAATGGAAATGAAACATCTGCCCTTCCCATTACAAAACAAACAGCTCAATTTCCTCCTAGCTGGAAGGTGTAGGGCTGTAATGGACATCTTGTTCCTCAGTCAGAACACTAGGAAACAAGCTTGCAAATCATTACAATAATACCTTCAAGCTGAAAAAGGCTAATCTGCAGTTTCCTGTCTGGCTTCCTGTCCCACTGCAGAATCCTGGCAGTGTCCAGCACCACAGCAACCAGAAAAACCGCTGCTATTCTAGCCAGTGCCATTCCTTATTAGAGTGCTTATAGTGAAATGCACAGGAAAATAACCACTGACCGCTACACTCAAACAAACTGCTACTGCTGAACATCTCCTTTAAGTTACTGAGGGCTCCACATTTCACATAGCACCTCCTCTACCATAATCCTTACTGTCAAATAAGGCCTGCAGGTCTCTCCTCTCATCACTGCCATTAAGTCTGGGACTTGCCTATAAAACCAGATTCTTGGCAGTTTAGTTGGCACATATCTGATATGAAGTTAGGAATAAAAGCACAAAAAAGCCCTATCAAAATTATCGGAGGAACACAGAGACATATCCTCAAAAGCTCCTGCCAGAGTCTTGCCCTTCCCCTGCAGGGCCAGTGAGGGCCAAAACTCAACCTGATGTGCACAATACAACAGGCTTATGTGTCAGCAGGTTTGTTACCACCATCTGCTGCTGAGTCCTGCTACTTCAGGGGAACATTCTGCCAACAGCTGCTTAGCTGGGAGTGGAAAAGGCTTCAAGGTAATCTCACAGTTAGGCAACACTATTAATCTTGCTATAATAAATAAAACTTTTGCAAAAGGAAGAAAAGAAATCTTTCACCAGGAGAACTGTGTGTTTTCCCTGTGGCTAAAAAACAGGCAGGAAGCTTAGAAAGTGGCTAGATATTACTTGTCTTGTGCTGTTCACAGATGCTTTATTTCTAACAGATCAGACAGCAACTTGAAGAGCAAGTGACTCCCATGGAATAATAAATAACCTGCACACTTCTCCTTACTGAAATACACGGGATCTTTAAGACGGGCAGGGTGGGTTTTGGCAACAGTGAAGGACATAAAGGTTCTGTGGGAGAAGTCAACAATAGCTCAAGCCTCCATACTCAGTGCCTGCCTCCGCAGTTCTCACTGCTAATGCTGCTCTTACTTCATTACCACTGTCAATGCTCTGTGACAGGGCTGAAGCCCTCCTGAAGAGCAAAGTGCTGTCATCGAGGAGGAAAGCTGCAACACATCACCACACTTTGCCAAGGACCATGACCCTGGTATGACGTGGCAGGGATGGTAGCTGGCTTTTGACAAAGATAAGAAAAGAACTACTAGAGCACATGTGATGCACAGGACAGCTCCAGGAAGAGGGCAGAGAAGAACTATAAAAAGCCAATTGTCGCAATATTGTGGCAAGGACAAGTTAAAGACAGCTCTTTTCAGTAACATTAACTGGATCAAACCCCCTTCAGAAAAGATCCCACTGGCTTTAGCTAGTTAAAGCCATACCAAGGTTGATCTAGAAAAGAAATCTTTCAGTTGTTTGTTGTGGGTTTTTTCTGAACACTCCCGAAGTACCAGCAACATAAATGCAGTTTCTCTCCAGCCCAAGAAAATCAAATGAACAGTGGTCTCCCCCGTGCATCAGAGCATGGATTCAACAGATCACTTCTGCAGGTGCTTACAGGAGGCTTCAGACCCTCCTGCAGTCGTTATGTGCTTCTCCAGAGTATTTCTCCCTCCCAGGGAGAAATAAGTGGGTCACTTAAAACCCACCTGGGAGAAATGCCTCCTTCTCCGTGGCTATCTAAATGCAAGCCTCTTTGGCTCAGCTTAAGTGACAAGCCGGACATACCACAAAAGCAGCTTAGCAATGCTTGCCTCAGACCTAATTTAAGCCCACGTTGTAAGTATGTTATTAGTATAACAAAGGAGAATCCCAAACTGGATTTGCAAGAAAGAGAGCTACTGTCATTTGCTTCTTATCCCCTGCCCCTCCCCTTGCTTTCTCTGTCCACAGATAAACCACCTGTATCTTTCTGCTGTTACAGCTCAGTGTCCTCATCTCACAGGCTCCCAAAATTCTCATCTCTGCTTACTTACGAGTGAGCGTCGGGACATTTTTGGAGGGATTCCATCCAGCTCTGTTGCCCCATTAGGGCCTGATCCATCTTTTCTTCTCTTTCGGGAATTCAGCCTGGAGGAGGTCGGTGGCTCCATCTTGCCAAGCACGTCCAGAAAGAACTGGAGCAAAATGAAGGAGAGGGGAAAAAAGGAAAAAAAAAAGATATTTCTCAGTTCTTCCAAAACAGAATCAGTCAACAGCAGGCACAGTGTACAGAAGGTCAGTGCAAAGACATGGCCACCTCACAAGGGGCTTAGCCAGTTGTAATTGGCATCAGCTGCCAAGGCTTGACAAACAGTGCCTGGTGGGAATACTGAATCATTTAATGCAACTCAGAGCTGTTCTGCAGAGAGAAGCGTGCAGCAGTCAGCTGGCTGGAGTGACACTGAAACAAGAAATTATAAATTATTACTACAAGGTTAATAATACTATTTTCGCATCTAAAAGGCAACCTAAAGATTATCAGCCCTCGTCCAGCTCTCTCTTGGATCCTTTACCCTTTACACACCCAGGGCAGCTGGTGGGTGTGCTGCATCCTGTACAGTCCTGAAGAGAGGGAAGAAGGTCTATGCAGAGGGATAAGGGCGAGGGAAGGGCTCATAACTTAAAAGAGTTTAAACAGGCTTGCTCTTTGCTTTGTTGCTCTTGTAAGACCAAGCTGCAGCTCCCCAGTGGGGACAGCCCACCTTGGGATGGCTGCCACCGTGTTCCCCTCTTGTCCCTTGTCCCCACCGCAGTGGTGACTCAGCAGATGGTGAAACAGCTGCTGACACCACATCAGGCCACACTTACTTCTGGAACTTTATGTACCAGTTTGCAATTAGTGGTGGTTCAGCTGAACTGCTTCTCTGATGAACCGACAGATGTACCACCAATTTTGGACAGAAATTGTGACAGTTATAAGAAACGAAGTTATCTGTGCTTTGGACTGGAGTCACTGTACCTTTCCAAAAGGGTCTGGAGTATTAAAAACTCCAGCTTCATAAAGCTGAAGCAAAAATAGGGATTTATAGGAAGGCATGGCAGTGAATATTCCCTTTCCAGCTGCTGCAGGAGTTAGAAATGGGTGCTAGATTTGCAAAACCTAAAAAGCAGCATTATCTCTCTTATTGAACTGTGCACCTCTCTAGGCAGCACATGGCACTTCTGGCCTCCTGTTCCCGAGAGCAGCGTGACCCCTCCACCCAGCAATGATCCTTAGGTGCGTGCCTCAACTCCCTAATAATAAGAGTGGTGTGGAATTTAAAACGTCTCCCCACCCACATGCAGTGGGTGTGCTGGAATGTTAGGTGGGGCAAGTGCAAGGTGTGACAAAGAGCAGATGCCCTTCTGAATACCACCTTTTTCCCTAGTAGAGAGGCTCTGCTGAGTGTTCTACTTGGGATGAGCTGGGACTGTCCTCACCAAGGGCCACTGGTAAAGCTCTGGTTTCACAGCCAAGAAGGGCGTGCTTTGTGGAAGAGCTGTTAAGTAGCAGACTTACTCAAGCACATATGACTCAAGGTTAAGGAATGCTCCTAAGTAACAAGTCAAATGCAGTTTAACAGATGCAAATATCTCTCCCTCCCCACTGAGCATCAGCATGATGATACCTTATGGATAGTTGTAGGGTCAGACACAGCTGAACTGGTTTGGGGCTACATACCTAAAACTATCCCTGGCTGCTCTGCTAGACCTACCACAATGTCCTAGGAACAGGGAAAGAGAATCTTAGATCAGTAACGAGCCAAAAAAATATCGTGGAGAAGATAAAAGTGACAGTGAGGAGCAGCCACAAGGACATTCCAAAACTGCGTGACCCATCCAGCACTCACTCCACGATGTCTGTGAGTCAAGCTTGCCGTTTCCCCCATTAGCAGTAATTAAATTACTATTCCTGAGAACAAACATATGGGAGGGTGCAAACATAGCCTCAGGCAAAAAAAGTTTGGAACCCTCAAGTCCAAGTCTTCAAACATTTAAGCAAACATTTAACTTTCAGGTGAGATCCGAGCTATAAATGCAGCAGCTTCCAGAGTGCCTCTGTGAAAACACAGGGTATGACACAAGTCATTCTTATATTTTGCAAGACATAATCTTGCAAGCACACTCTGCATCAGTCATTTACCACCGTGATCCTAGCAGAAACTATGGAGTTCAAAAAAAGAAGCAAACATCTGGTTCATGCAACCCCAGAATTCATGGAAACACTGGAGGGAAACAGCAGCTGATTTTCTTGTTGTTTGGTTATACTAATTTCACTGTGCTTCAAGTCACCTGTTAGGTCTCTGACCACTTTTTTTCCTTCCCTTGTGAGAGAATTAAAAGGTCTGTTAATGTGCTGGATGCAGACATTCTGAACCACTTCCCAGCAAAATATCAAAAGCAGAGGCTTTGGCACTGAAGCACAGACATAGCAACCCCACAATCAGGTGAAGCTCTTCCCACATCAGCGTGGCCCATCACAGCAACCAGACCTCACTGCACACAACTGCAGCCTCTGCTGAATTATCACCAGCCCCTTGCTGCTGGGTGCAGATCGCACGGCCAGCCAAAGAACTGCAGGTTATAGTACAGGGCAGCACTGTCCCAGCTCAGGAGAAAACTTCAACAGCTTCTTTCAGTTCATCCCACACCCAACCATCTGCTCTCCTCCACTCTAACTTTTCCATTTCTCAGGGTATACATAGTTAGTTAAACGATGGCAAACAACTTAAACGAATTGATTCCAACTTGAGAGATTCTGTTATACACCGTGCATTAAATCAGCAGCAGTGGTGAGACAGCATTAGCCACACAGCAGCAGCTCTACCCAATGTACCCAGTGAGAAACCAGCTTCAAAGGTGGGATAAATATGCTCTGTCTGCTTTGACCTGACCGGTGAGATGTTGCTGAAATAGCCTCTGCAGTGTCGAGACAGCAGGGCTGGACACCTCATGAGTGACACAGCTCTGCTAATTGCTCAAATTAATGTTGAAATGAAACAATAATTTTACCACTATTCAGAACTTTAAAACCTCTGTCCTGTGGCTAGTGCATTTCTGGGAAGTCCTCCCATCACCAGGCTTGTCTTCATGTAAAACTGGGAACACACCACACCTTACTGCAATAAACCTACTAATCTCAGAATGCTTCATTTTGACCCAAGTGACTAAAATAGCATTCCAAACAACTATTTACCAACAGTGAGATCCAGCATCTGTAGCTGAATTTAACACATGAAGATATGGCTTTGCTTACCCAAATGCATAAAACACTGCCTGTTCTAAAATTAATTACATTTGCAGAAGATGGGGAAGAGGAAAGAGAAGATAACTCTCAAAGCTCATTCTGAACACTCCAAGATAGAAACCAAGCATAACCAGAAGAAAGAGCCTTGCTGTAAAATATTAACATTGTTCTATTTTAAGGTGTCACCCTCCTGCATTATTGAGTTCATGGCTGAATATGAGAAACTGCTCGAAAGGAGCAAATCTAGAAGTGCCCCGTTTGGAAAAGCCATGGGCATATCAGAGTCTCTGCACCACTTTATAAGACACTCAGGGCATTTCTTCTTAAACTTATTTCTTTGGTGCATCCTGTATCAAAAAAGCGCCTTGCATCACCTGCCAGCTAACTCACCGAGAGAAAGAGAGACCTGCATGGGCTCTGCGAGGAGCAGTGCACTGCCAGATGGGAAAAGAATTGCTTTTCCTGTCAGGGAATCACTGAATCCCACTGAAATACAGCCACTTCTGGGAGGGGAAAAAAGACAAACAATGATTACTAGAAAGGAAAAAATATATAGGAAGGAAAGGAATTGAAAACTTCTCCCTTAGTGTCAGTTAACTACATCATCATCAGAGCTGGAATTTAACCACAACTCTCACCTCTGGCAGGTGGAAGAGGTCAGAATAGGCCCAGCAAATCTTCCTGATTAGCCAAAGCTTTACATCACTGTCTGCATCTTTATGGACAGTGCTGCCTTTTTCAGTCTTGGTGGTGTCAGAAAACTCTAGCATCACACTACACTGGAGAAGCAGGTCAGATCTTTCTGCACCCTAAGCACACTGATGGCATGAGGACCTGGACCATCTGTCTTTTTTTTTTTTTTTTTTTACGTCCTGAAGAATTTCTTGGAGAGTATTAATTGCAAACCTACATCAGTAGCAGGATTTCTTCTGCCACTTATGCTGCTTTTCACGTGCAGATTTACCTGTGAAGCAAAATAAATGCTGCTACTTAAACTGAAAACAAGCTTGCTGCAACAACTCAGTGAATGCTCCAGCCCAAGGCTGCTGCAATTCCCACCAGGGACCCAAAGCACAAGACTGGCAGCTGGACCGGTGAGGCCCTGGGACCCCCACAGCTTCCTGGGTGGCACCGCCTGCTCCAAGGCTGTCCTATCATCCCTCTGAACTTGGGAGGCGTTGGCACAGTCAGATGTGACTGTCATGTGCTGCTTTGCCTACAAGATCATTGCACTTTACAGGAACAAGATATTTCTCTTCTGCTGACTCATCTGCAGGCAACACTCCTAAACTTTGCACTCTGCCAGCTGTCTGCAGAGAATTGCCTTGACACATGGACAGCATGTAAGCAAGAGCCTCAGGGAAAAGGGAAAAGTCCTGTCACTTCAGATAAGTCCCTTGCCAGGCTACAAAGTACCAAAATGACACTACATTCCTCTGCATTCCCCGATGACAGATCAAAGAGAATCCTTTTCCCCCTGTTCTCCTTCATCTGCAACCCCCAGTCCCCAATTAACCCTACTGGTGTGTATCCCCGTGGAGACACAGAGACCTGGGAGAGATTAACGACAGAAGACTCACCATGGATCTCTCTTCTATCAGTGCTTTAAAAACTTGCCCAGTCTCCAAGGCAACTTCATGCTCAGCCAAGGCTCGCCAGGCCCAGCTCTGTCCCAGTCTCCAGACTCAGAGCATCTGCCTGGAAACAGTGCTGCTGGCTATGACCCAGCCTACTCACCTCCAGACAGACTGCAATGTTCCCCACAGTCAGCATCTGCTCTACCTGGATGGTCAAGCCCTTGAGCCCCTTAAAAACGTTATTGCAAGATCTGGCACAGTCCTGTCCACTTATAAAAAACAGCTTCTTCAGCTACTTTGGATTTAGATCAACAAAAGCAGGTGTCCCACACTGAGTTAAAAGCCACACAAACACATAAAAGAGATTCCTGTTCAGCCAGTGCCACACATTGGTCCAACAGCATTCACCTTTGCTGTATCTGCTAAAACAACCCCCAGGCCTTGCATCCCCTACTGGTCCAGGCAGGCTGGTAACATATTCTCAAACAGAGCTTGAGCATGCACAAGCTCTGGTACCCATGTCCTGCAATCGATGGAAAGATGCTGCTTCTCATCAACAAAGTCTCAAATGGCTCAAGATAACCCTGCCTAACCACAACTGAAAACACTTCGGTGTGATCACTTAGATAGTGTTGCTAAGTAATACACATGTGAAAAAGAGAAACTGATTTCACGACCTCTGTGCATTCACAGCCCTGCTGGGTATACCATAACCTCTAGGCACTGAGTGTCTTGACATGCAACAGCCTCTGCTGGGTGAGTGAAGCAGCAAAAATAGGGTTTATGCAGAATACCAGGAAAGATACTGCCAAGAACAATAAAGTGTGAGAATAGGTGACCATTCTGACCTGACTTCTGCACTATTTCGTTTTTAGAGATTAGCAACAGAGCTTTTTGAGACCTCCTTTAGCAGGTTTACACACCAATACCAATTCCTTACTGCAACAGTTACTGTCTGTGGCTCTTGGTACAGTGATTTCAAGAGTGTTACAACCCAATCCTCGCAGCAAGAAACTTCAAAATCAGGAATCTTAATAATTTTCTATATACGGCAAATTTCTTTGGGATATAATGCATAGGTATTTGTAATCTGAATTTCAAAACCAAATACACTGGCTGTCTTCAGACCCTGGGGTCCTGCAGATGGAAACCCAGCATTACCAGCTTCTGAGCACCCCAGGCTTTGCCAGGGTCCTGGTGTGGCAGCATCACAGGGTGGAGACAGAGAGAAGGCCACCAGGAGCACCCTGCATCTCCTTCCACAGCGAGTGAGGACTACAGAGGAGCATCACAGCTCTCAGAATTCCTGAGGACTTTAAGTCCAATTACAAAATCATTAATCAGTGCAGCCAGGACTTCGGTGGACACAAAAAGCAGGTTAGAGAGGATGTGTGCCTACGCAGCAGCTGGGTCACACCTTCCTTCGCCGTAGCCAGGGCCACCTCCTCACTGTCCTCCCTAGGCCTTGACTGTGTCCCCTGGGTGAGGGATGTCCCCCGGAGCCCCCACGCTCCAAGCGCTGAGGATGCACGACAAAAGTTTCCCACTGACCTGCCTTTACCTTCTCTCAGCTGCCAGTCCTGCCATCTCCGAGGATCACGCCCGAGCCCCGGCCTCTGTCCGACCCCACAAAGGGGACGCAGCACATCACGACCACCCCAGCAGACACTGCCCTCTTGTCCAAAGCCAGCGCTCCACGTCCCGACCCGCCAGCACCTCCCGAAGCCCCCAGCCTGTGCCACGGCCACCACGCTGGGAGAGGGGCCCGGGGAGGGACCCCTGCCCGGCTCCGCAAGGGGAGCGTGCGGTGCCCTCATGTGCCGCCAGTCGAAACCCACTCAACAACTCCGGTCCCGTGAGAAGCACCGCTCCGCTCCCTGTACCCGCAGTGACAGCCCCCGCTCCCGCCGGACGCCCCCCTACCAGCGCGCCGCCGGCCGCCGCCGCTCCGCAGCCCAGCACCCAGCCCGTGAGCCCGGCCCCGCCGCCGCTCCCGGCCCCGCCCTGCTCCCGCGACGCCAGCGGGGCGCGGGCGGAGCCGCTGCGTGTCCACCCGGAACCACGGGAAGGGACCGGCCCGCCGCGGGGAAGCAGCGTCCCGGGAATCCGCGCCCGGAACCTTCGTTCCGGCTCGAAACGGTCCTGCCCCCCGGCTCTTCACGTCACAGAATATCCTGAGATGGAAGGGACCCACAAAGATCATGGAGTCCAACTCCTAGCCCTACAAAGCACCATCCTCAAAAATCCTGAGAGCCTTATCCAAACGCTTTTTGAGCTCTGCCAAGCTTGGTGCCATAACCACTTCCCTGGGGAGCCTGGTCAGTGCCCAGCCACTCGCTGGGGAAAGAACCTTTTCCTGATACTCAATCTAAACCCCCACGACACAGCTTCAGACCGTTCCTTGTGTCCTGTCACTGGTCACCACAGAGAAGAGATCAGTGTCTGCCCCTCTGCTTCCCATCGTAAGGGGGGGAGACTGTGATGAAGTCTCTCCTCCACCCATCCACTGTATGGACGTGTCCGGTGTAAATTCCGGAGGTTCTGGAAGGAGGGAGCTGCCCTGCATATCCACACCGATATGCAGTGCTTCAGCAGTGGCTCAGTCTTTCTCCAGGAAAAATACAGCATCCCTTACCCATTCCATGCCACAGCCATGGGTGGTGAGGCTGAGTGATTATGGACTCAAATCTGCTCACCTGCTTTGTACAACACCTTTGTGAAGAAACAATTAAAACCCTCCAAAACAGAGCAAGGTGAAACATTGTGATTTAACAGCCATGACTTCATAAAAGCTTCAAAATGAGTCTGAGGTCATCTGTACCATCTCCTGGAAAATGTTGTGTGGAGGGTTTTGCTGTTCCCCAAAAGTCACGCTCCTAGGTCATGCACAAACCAAGCAGTGCTGTTGCCTCTCTCTGTAGGTTCCTTAATGGGTGACAGCCTAAGGCAGCAGAACAGCAGTCAGGGAAGTCACTCTCTATTTCCCACCACAGGAAGAGGAGAGGAAGACTAATAATCAAAATATTTCAAGATAATATAATATAGAACCATCAATGTGCTGCCTCCAGCACTGTAGCTGAAAGAGGGATTCTAGAAGATACATCGTAATTTTTTACTTCCCTGGCTTCCGAGAGCTGCATGGGGAGGGTGTGTTCTAGTCTAACAGTTGGTGAGGGCGGGATTTAGGGTTCACCTCAGCCACTTCAGCACTCTAAAAGCCATTCATCCCACTGGAATAGTTCAGCTGTGCTTGCCCTGTCAGCAGAGAGAGAACAGGCATCACCACAGAGCATCCCATCTTCCAGTGGGCATGCTAAGATGTACTCTGTTGGCACCCACTCTCTCAGGAACCCACTTGGTCCTCTAATTTTTGGGGAGAAGCTTAAGCACTCTTCTGCAGACCTACTGCATCCTTTATCAGGCCAGAGTCCTAGCAAAGTTGGTCTCCAAACATCCACCCTCATATTCCAAAACAATGACAGATTGAGAAATCACTGCAGCATCTGCTGAAGAGTGTGAGGAGCAATGATCACACACAGCATCCACAGGTGCCAAATTGCACGAAACCAAGGCGCAGTTACTGCAGGGAGGAGTTCTGGCAGTCATGGGGTGTGTGGGCTGCTGGTCTGACCTAATGTCCTAAATACCTTGACTTTCCATCAATTAATACCATCTCATATGATACAACTGGGATTCATAGCCCAATTGTTGTGGGAGTCATAGGAACAAATCTGGATAACCAGAATCAGAGATCAGCTTTATGGATTAATTTACAAAGAATTGTCAAAATACTCATCTGAGAAATGCAGACAAGCTATCCAGGATAGTGCATCTTGTAGAGTGGAAGAAAATGCCACAGGAGAAGAAATATTAAACAGATAGATTTATTATGTTTTTTTTTCTTATAAATATTTCATTAATTTCATAGAAATAAAAATAAAGTAACAGAACTCTTTTGAGACAAAAGTTTACCTTAGAAGCAATGGCTATTGGCAATACACTTTTAGGACAAAACCAACACTATATAAAAAACAAAGGGCCATTTAAATAAAGGACATAATAATAATAATAATAATAATAATAATAATAATAATAATATTGTGCTTAAAGCTAAATCAATATCCACAAGGAAGAGGGAATGTTGTAGTGTGTAGAACAGGTGTAGGACATGCTTCATAGAGCTGTTAATTGTGTTATGTACTAAAGGAAGAATATGATGCTTTTGTGCACTTAAATAAAAAATACTCCAAAGCATTCTCCCCAACGTCCATTCTTCTGTGCAGTCTTTGTCACCTTCAATAATAGAAGCAGCCAAATGCAGCCACCACACAAAACAGGCTGTCCTGGGGAAAACAGAGAAAGGCTCTGTGTTAGTCAAGGCAAGTTTTTTGCTAGTCTAGTGGAACAGGCAAACCTCAAGGAACATTTAGACCAGAGCATAACGGTATGGTAATACATTGCAATTTTCTGTCTTTTATTTAAGTTTCTTATTCACCTCACTTGTGGTGTAACCCATATCAGTGCATCTGAATGCCAGAAGTGCCTCAATTTCCTCCATCCATTCAACCACAGGTGTCTAGGTGTCAGTTTAGAATAAAATAAAATAAAATGTTAAGTAAAACCTTGACTTTGGCTCAGTTCTGGGTTTCAGCCATGCTCCATGACTGTAGCTCAGCAAAGCATGTAAGAAAAGACTTTGTCTCTTGTGCATTCTCTCCCCACCAGAAAAATGGTGTGACTACAGTGACTTTTGAACTGTACTGTGTCACCTACTCAGGAGAGAACTTTTACTTTGTTGGCTATCTAAGTATATTTTGTGAATAAGGATATAAATAAGGCTGTTTCAATAATCTTGATTCCTTCCTTCTAGTAGTTGCTTCTTTTCTGCTCCATATTTAAGGTCACTCTGCCTCTCATACAAAAGCAAGTAGTCTTGCACTTCCCATGGGAATCCAGTCCATACTTACATTCATGAACACGTCGTGAGCACAGCTGTCAGTGTCAGCATCCCAGAAACATCGTGCAGCCATGCTAGACAAAGGAGCCAGACAGGGACATTACCCAGAGTTCATGTGTAATGATCTAAGTGATCACAGATACTTCCCTTCAAAACCAAACTGAGCTTGGTTTAAGGGTAATGGAATTGGGATGTGTGCTCCTGAATCCCAAGCCTAGTTTTCTACTGCTGAATTCTATCACATGCTGTAATCCCTTCAGTATGTGCTCCACCTTCAAACTCATCAGCTCTCAACCCTGCCACCTTCACTGTGCAGCAGGGCCTGAAACCTCATTGCTATAGTGCTTAAGAATCTTTGACTTCTGGCCTATGCATATCAGTTAGCTGATTTGTTCTTGTCCTTCACCTCCTGCACCCTCATAGTACGTGACCAACTTATTTATAGGGAGCTATCGTATTCCTTGGCAGATGCTGTGCTATGAGACCACGACCTCTTCAAGTCTTTTCGTATCTATACCCTCTGTTCCCTGACCATCCTGATGGACTTCTACACCCAAGCCCTATCCTGAGGACAAACAACCAGACCATATCTGGATATTGCATATGAGACTTTGCCTTGTCTAAAGGCACTGACATTCCCTTTTCTCTCCTGCAAGTGTCCCACTCCCTGCCTGCCCCAGCCAGCCTCAGCTGACAGGATTCCTTTTGGGGCACGGTCCCATAATGTATGACTGACTGTACTAAAGTGTATTTTGCATTAAGGATGTCATGATTGTGCTTCAATCTTGCCTCCTATCTGTTGCAAACTAAAAATTTCTCCAATTGCTCTGTCAGCCTGTGTGACTGGACTTCACATTTCTAATCAGACCACCTGAACATTGAACTGTTCACCCTGGTATGGTGCTTCTGGAGCAGTCTGCCTGCAAACAGATATTCCTGACAAAAGCCTGAGCAGCAGATACAGATATTCCTCTCTGACCTCCAGAACAGGGAGGCAGCAGACCTGATTACAGCTCTGCTGCACTTATCTTCTGCTGGAGTACCAGGCACAATAATAAAGATAAGCCCAGCAGATAAAGCACATAAACCTTGTGAGCCTTTTTGATTCTCCCTACCCACTAATGGAAAGCTACAGGCCACTGTTGCAGCCATGAGGAATTATTTTGTCTGACTGCAGGCATCTGGAGCTGACTGCAAGCAGTCACAAGGGAATCTAGGCTTGGTTCCCATGACAGTATTGCAGGGGGATTAGAGAAATTGAAACTTTTGAAAAATGTAAATGAAGTGCTTATGGAAGCTTTCTGGCTTTAGACAGAAGTGAGTTACCGTGGCTCTTGTGCTCCATCAGGGACTTGGGAATGGATGGGGGGGTATACCCTAATTCATCATGAATACAACATAAAATGCTTCTGCCACAATCCTCAAAAATGATTTTCAGCATTTCAGCTTGCTAAGAAGCACCATAGAGCCAATTATCGCTGGCTATTTCAACCAGTCACAACTTAAGCA